ATGCTAACTATTCTAGCTAACTAACTGGCTGAATAAGTTGACGACGGACTCGCTCAAGCTGTCGGGACTAACCCACAACGTTAGACACGGACACGAACGATCTGCTTGGCGTGTTGACACACTGGTGGTTTGTTGTGGCCGAGTATTGGTGCTAAACCGTGTTGTTGGAGTCCGGCATGCTAGCTGGCTGTGGCGTCTTATGACTAGGTGCCCTCGACGATTTTCACAGAAGAATACTGTACCAAGTTAGCTAGCTGAATAAACTAAGTTAGTTTATTCCTAGAAAACATTGAACCGCTGTAGTTTACAATAATTATAGTTTCTGAGGTGGAAGTTGGGAGAGTTATATTTGGGTGTTGTGGTGAGGGAGGCCCCGCTCTCTCCTTTCCCAGATGTTTAGTTCATTTCATTCCGATCTCCTTTGCATTATTGTAGCCATTTTCTGCAGCCTGTCAACTATGCCTCTGTCTATCCCTGTTCTCTCCTCTCCGCACAGGCTATACAAACGCCTCACACCGCGTGGCTGCTGCCTCTCTAACCTGGTGGTCCCTGCACACACCACCCACGTGGAGTTCCAGGTCTCAGGCAGCCTCTGGAACTGCCGTTCTGCTGCCAACAAGGTAGAGTTCATCTCAGCCTATACTACCCTCCAGTCCCTTGACTTCTTGGCGCTGACGGAAACATGGATTACCACTGAAAACACTGCTACTCCTACTGCTCTCTCCTCGTCTGACCATGTGTTCTAGCATACCCGAGAGCATCTGGTCAGCGGGGTGGTGGCACAGGAATCCTCATCTCTCCCAAGTGGACATTCTCTATTTTTCCCCTGACCCATCTGTCTATCTCCTCATTTGAATTCCATGCTGTCACAGTAACTAGCCCATTTAAGCTTAACATCCTTGTCATTTATCGCCCTCCAGGTTCCCTTGGAGAGTTCATCAATGAGCTTGACGCCTTGATAAGTTCCTTTCCTGAGGATGGCTCACCCCTCACAGTTCTGGGGGACTTCAACCTCCCTACGTCTACCTTTGACTCATTTCTCTCTGCCTCCTTCTTTCCACTCCTCTCCTCTTTTGACCTCACCCTCTCACCGTCCCCCCCTACTCACAAGGCAGGCAATACGCTTGACCTCATCTTTACTAGATGCTGTTCTTCTACTAATCTCACTGCAACTCCCCTCCAAGTCTCCGACCACTACTTTGTATCCTTTTCTCTCTCGCTCTCCTCCAACACTACTCACTCTGCCCCTACTCAGATGGTAATGCGTCGTCGCAACCTTCACTCTCTCTCTCCCGCTACTCTCTCCTCTTCCATCCTATCATCTCTCCCCTCTGCTCAATCCTTCTCCCTCCAATCTCCTGATTCTGCCTCCTCAACCCTCCTCTCCTCCCTTTCTGCATCCTTTGACTCTCTATGTCCCCTATCCTCCCAGCCGGCTCGGTCCTCCCCTCCAGCTCCGTGGCTTGATGACTCATTGCGAGCTCACAGAACAGGGCTCCGGGCAGCCGAGTGGAAATGGAGGAAAACTAGACTCCCTGCGGACCTGGCATCTTTTCACTCCTTCCTCTCTACATTTTCTTCATCTGTTTCTGCTGCTAAGGCCACTTTCTACAACTCAAAATTCCAAGCATCTGCCTCTAACCCTAGGAAGCTCTTTGCCACCTTCTCCTCCCTGCTAAATCCTCCTCCCCCCCCCCCCCCCCCCCTCCCTCTCTGTGGATGACTTCGTCAACCATTTTGAAAAGAAGGTTGACGACATCCGATCCTCGTTTGTTAAGTCAAATGACACTGCTGGTCCTGCTCACACTGCCCTACCCTATGCTTTGATTTCTTTCTCCCCTCTCTCTCCAGATAAAATCTTGCGACTTGTGACGGCCGGCCGCCCAACAACCTGCCCGCTTGACCCTATCCCCTCCTCTCTTCTCCAGACCATCTCCGGTGACCTTCTCCCTTACCTCACCTCGCTGATCAACTCATCCTTGACTGCTGGCTATGTCCCTTCCGTCTTCAAGAGAGCGAGAGTTGCACCCCTTCTCAAAAAACCAACACTCGATCCCTCTGATGTCAACAACTACAGACCAGTATCCCTTCTTTCTTTCGCTCCAAAACTATTGAGCGTGCCGTCTTTAGCCAACTCTCTTGCTATCTCTCTCAGAATGACCTTCTTGATCCAAACCAGTCAGGTTTCAAGACTGGTCATTCAACTGAGACTGCTCTTCTCTGTGTCACGGAGGCTCTCCGCACTGCTAAAGCTAACTCTCTCTCCTCTGCTCTTGTCCTTCTAGACCTGTCTGCTGCCTTTGATACTGTGAACCATCAGATCCTCCTCTCCACCCTCTCCGAGCTGGGCATCTCCGGCGCGGCTCACTCTTGGATTGAGTCCTACCTGACCGGTCGCTCCTACCAAGTGGCGTGGCAAGAAGCTGTCTCCGCACCACGTGCTCTCACCACTGGTGTCCCCCAGGGCTCAGTTCTAGGCCCTCTCCTATTCTAGCTATACACCAAGTCACTTGGCTCTGTCATATCCTCACATGGCCTCTCCTATCATTGCTACGCAGACAACACAGAACTAATCTTCTCCTTTCCCCCTTCTGATAACCAGGTGGCGAATCGCATCTCTGCATGTCTGGCAGACATATCAGTATGGATGACGGATCACCACCTCAAGCTGAACCTTGGCAAGACAGAGCTGCTCTTCCTCCCGGGGAAGGACTGCCCGTTCCATGATCTCGCCATCACGGTTGACTCCGTTGTGTCCTCCTCCCAGAGTGAGAAGAGCCTTGGCGTGACCCTGGACAACACCCTGTCGTTCTCCGCTAACATCAAGGCGGTGACCCGATCCTGTAGGTTCATGCTCTACAACATTCGGAGAGTACGACCCTGCCTTACACAGGAAGCGGCACAGGTCCTAATCCAGGCACTTGTCATCTCCCGTCTGGATTACTGCAACTCGCTGTTGGCTGGGCTCCCTGCCTGTGCCATAAACCCCTACAACTCATCCAGAATGCCGCAGCCCGTCTGGTGTTCAACCTTCCCAAGTTCTCTCACGTCACCCCGCTCCTCCGCACACTCCACTGGCTTCCAGTTGAAGCTCGCATCTGCTACAAGACCATGGTGCTTGCCTACGGAGCTGTGAGGGGAACGGCACCTCCGTACCTTCAGGCTCTGATCAGTCCCTACACCCAAACGAGTGCATTGCATTCATCCACCTCTGGCCTGCTGGGTCCCCTACCTCTGCGGAAGCACAGTTCCCATTCAGCCCAGTCAAAACTGTTCGCTTCTCTGGCACCCCAATGGTGGAACAAGCTCCCTCACGACGCCAGGACAGCGGAGTCACTCACCACCTTCCGGAGACATTAGAAACCCCACCTCTTTAAGGAATACCTGGGATAGGATAAAGTAATCCTTCTACCCCTCAAATACTTATTTCCCTCATTAAAATGCAAATCAATTTATAACATTTTTGACATGCGTTTTTAAGATTTTTTGGTTGTTATTCTTTCTCTCACTGTTCAAATAAACCTACCATTAAAATAATAGACTGATCATTTCTTTGTCAGTGGGCAAACGTACAAAATCAGCAGGGGATCAAAAACTTTTTTCCCTCACTGTACAAAAAAAACATAACATTTGAACGGCTAGGGCTATGAGCTCAGTAATCCTCCCTCCCTCTATCATCTAGTCTTATCTTCCCTGCCATCTCTCCCTGCCTCTCCTCTACATTTATTCACCACCCTCCACTAAACTATCCTCCATCCATGAGCTCACTTTTCCTCTCCCCCTCCATCTGCCTATGGGGCTTGACCCCAATAAGGTTTATATAACATCATTATGGCATGATTAACCCCTTTCATCCCACCATTAACCCTGTCTCTCCCCAGAGCAGACACTGCCTGTGGCCTACAACACAAGCAACGCATACACACAACATACAAACACCAGAGCCCGCCGGCCCTGTACCCATACGGAGAAAAAGCCCACTTGATTCCAAAAAAGCAGAGTGTGATTTTCCACTTATCCCCAGTCATAGATCGTATAACAGTCATGTTAATACACGTATACACCTTGTCAATGAATGCAACCAGACAGGATGGGTTTTCAAATATTTTTACAGAGGTTTTAATCTACAGCGTGCATTTCAAAGTGTCTTTACAGTTGGTACATTTACATTGAGTGGTTTGTCAACCCCACTGTGAGATGCAAACATGCTATCATGACATATTTATGAGAATGATGTTGAAGTCATAAAAATGTGTCTGTACAGAAACCATATTCAAAATTAGCATAATTAATCATTCATAATCTATATATGTCGTGTATACAGTATAACTCAGGCCAGGAGTATTTCCATAGAGTTGTTCCTGGTAAGGAAATACTCCTAGCCCTAAGCATAGCACAGGAGTGGAGATAGGGACAGAAGATAGAGATATAACAGATTTATATCATGAACAAATCAGTAGACTACAGTATCATAACATGTAGAGTACGCCATTAAGAAAGAGGCATCATGTAGTTACTCCTTCACTCAGCCACTGACTACATATAGCACAGAGCTACAGATTCTAGATCCGTTTGGCATCATGTCTAGAACAAGAACTAACTTCTCTACTGGCATAATACAGGGGTAGTAACAGAAATGGCAACACATCAGTAAGAATACAGTTGTCCTAAGAACAGGGCTACACAGTAAATCACTGGTTATAACGAGGCAAAACCTGGACCATTGTCTTTTTCATAGTTTTTCCTGCTTTTGGACCGGAAGACAATAGATGCCAGTAGAAGAGGAAATAAATAATGGGAGTATCAGAGAGAGAATGGAAAAATTGAAGATGGGAGAGAATGAGAGGATAACGGAAACAGAAAGACAAGAAAGAGAGGAGAGAAGAGTAGTGTCATGGTTCATGTGAAGAAGCCGATGAGAGGCTGTAGGAACAGTCCCAGAGTTCCAGTGATACACACCGTCACAAACACCCACAGAAAGATCCTGTCAATCACCATGGCTACGTACTCCAGTCATCCTCCACCTGGGAGAGAGAGGACAGAGCTCGTCAGAGGACAGGGGATCACAGATCATTAAAGGCAATTGGAAATACTGTAAGACAATGAAGGAAAGGGATGTGAGGAAAGGGTTAAGCAGGGATTTGAAAGTTCATAAGGAAAGTAATAAATACACACAAAAACGTCTCTCTCTCTCTCTCTCTCTCTCTCTCTCTCTCTCTCTCTCTCTCCTCTCTCTCTCTCCTCCTCTCCTCTCTCTCTCTCTCTCTCTCCTCTCTCTCATCTCTCTCTCTCTCCTCTCTCTCTCTCTCCTCCCTCCTTCTCTCTCTCCCTCTCCCCTCTCTCTCCTCTCCTCCTTCCTCTCTGAGGTCCCTCACCCTCATCTCTCCCTCTCTCTCTCTCTCTCTCTCGCCCTCTCCCTCTCTCTCCTCTCTCCTTCTCTGACAGACTCATTGACCTTTCCTTAATGACATCTGAAAATGCTGCGAGGAGATTCCTAGCTCCAATAAAGGCATCCCATTGGCTTCAGATCACTGTGCTAAAGGATGTCTATGCTGTGTTTAGCATCCCGCAAGGAATTTGCAAATTAGGATATGTGTTACTTTGACGGCCGTAAAAACAGCAAGAGAACGAGACAGACTGAAGGAGACAGAGAGAGAGAGAAATACCAGGTTTCCTTGATCCCTATAGCATTTATGAGGACTGGGTCAGGCCAGGTGTGTGTGTGTGTTTTCCTGAAGCAGCCTGCTTTGGCCCACTGGTTTCACATCAGGTTTCAGGGTGAAGTAATGCCATTGTCTCCTGAAGGGTGTATGGCTGTTCTGTGTGCATCATTTCAACACTGAGATCAGGCCTTACTAAGAAAAGACTAAGAAAAGACTACGAAAAGACGGAGCAACAACAAGCGTATCAGCCAGATGCAGAGAGAGAGAGAGAGAGAGAGAGAGAGAGAGAGAGAGAGAGAGAAAGGGAGAGCTAATCTTACTAAAGCTATCTCACAAACAGCTGTGCAGATTAAACCAGGTAGAAACCAGGAATAAGACCCCATGGAGTATTTGTATTTGTTTTACTATGGATCCCCATTAGCTGCTGCCTTGACAATAAATTCACAGATTTCACAACACTTTTTGCCCTCAGGCCCCTGCTTCAGTTAGGCTCTCTATCAGAGAAAACCCTGCCTCAGTTGGGTTTGTTTTGGTCTAGGTGTGTAAAAATATTTGTGTGTGAGTATGTGTATGTGAAATTGTGTTTGCATGGATTCATGTGAATCTGTGTGTGTAAGGATGTACCGTGTGTGTGTGTGTGTGTGTGTGTGTGTGTGTGTTGTGTGTGTGTGCGTGTGTGTGTGTGCATGGCCCAGCACATTTGCTGAATTCCAATTACTGCTTGTATTTCATATACCACTTCCACTGGACAAGCTGCAAGAGGGAGAATGACTAGGGAATGCTTCTGCTCTCTTCATTTCACTATTAGAGATGTAATCCAAAACCTCAGCTCACAGAGAACTACACTTCAGAGCATGTATCTGTAGTTACTGAAGAATAACTATGTAATAACCCAAAGTGTCCTACCTCTTTGGCCTTGTTGCGTGTCCTCATGTTCTCAGCGATGTACTTGACACTCTCAATGGCCTGTTTGATCTCTGGTGACACCACGGAGAAGGCCACCACTGCGCTAACGTTGGGCGGGGCATTGGGTGCTTGGGGCAGTTTGGGTAGGTCCGGCTCAGAAGGGGCAGGAGGGGGCACCACCGGGGGTACGGTGGGGATGGGCACCTCTTTCCCCTTACAGGGGAACTTCGGCTTGTTTTGCACTTCACTGTACTCCACACAGTTCATCTCCCCCACCTGCCCCCTTTCGGCTGCGACCGCAAACCCATCCACCTGCACACACCCTCCTCCTATCCCTCCCCCTATTCCTCCCCCAATGCTGTTCTTCCTCTTCTTCCCCGTTCCACTCGCTCCTCCTCCTCCCACACATCCACCTCCAATACTCCCCCCTCCTGTTCCATCTCCTCTCCCACTCCCCACGGAGGAGGGGCAGCCGTGGTCTACAGGCCTCCTCATGAGCATCACCTTGGGCAGCAACCCCAGGAACACAGACCTGACCCAGGCTGGCATGGTGTGAGTCATGGGCGTACGGTAGTGGACGTTCAGCACGAACACAGTGATGACGATGGAGAGGGTGACGAAGATCATGGTGAAGAGGAGGTACTCCCCGATGAGGGGGATGACCAGAGACGTAGACGGGATGGTCTCAGTGATGACCAGGAGGAACACAGTGAGGGACAGGAGGACGGAGATACAGAGAGTCACCTTCTCTCCACAGTCAGAGGGGAGATAGAAGACGAGGACGGTGAGGAAGGAGATGAGGAGACAGGGGATGATGAGGTTGATGGTGTAGAAGAGAGGGAGGCGTCTGATGTAGAAAGAGTAGGTGATGTCTGGGTAGATCTCCTCACAGCAGTTGTACTTGATGTCGTGTTTGTAGCCCGGCGCGTCAATGATCTCCCACTCGCCGCTCTCCCAGAAGTCTTTGAGGTTCACCTATGGAGAGACTGTAGTACATTAGCAGTAAAGCAGAGCCGAGTTCTATCCTAGGAAATAAAGAGGGCTTCGACTGAGATTACATCATAAAAAAGACCAGGAAGTACTTCCTGTTGAAATGTACTAAGTAAACCATAAACCCAGCCACATTGAATTAGCCAAAAAACACAGCCCATTTTCTTAATGTGGAGTTAGCTAACTAGCTAGCAAATGAGTTAGTAAACTAGCTAACCAGTGTGATTACTGACCTTTGACCCTATGAGCACCAGGTCGATCTTGGCCTTGTCGTAGGTCCAGGAGCCAAACTTCATGGAGCAGTTCTGGTAGTCGAACGGGAAGTAGGTGATGTCCATGGGGCAGGAGGATTTAAAGATGGCGGGGGGGATCCAGGTGATGGTGCCGTCAAACTTCAGCAGAGCTTTGGTCTTGTCCTCAACCAGGAAATCTCCCACAGCACTGAAGAGAGGGGAGATATGATAGTTAGCATATTATTTAGCACTGATGGCTAAAAAAACACACACAGAACTGGAGAGGAGACAATGGGTGATGGTTAGCGTAGCATTTAGCACTGATGGTTAAAAAGCAACAAGAGAACATCAATATAATGTACATAGTTAAGATATTGAGCTCACTTGTTGTAGAGAACAATGTCCGGCCTCCATATCTTATTGGAGGGCACACGAATGAACTCAAGTCCGTCATATTCAATGGGAACCCATTTTAGCTTGTAGTCATTCCAGACCTGCAACAAAGAGAGGAGAAAACAGATCTTAGACCAGATTTTAACAGTGCATACTCTACTAACTTCTGTACTGGGGTTTAGACTTCAGTTCTTAGATCAGATGATAACTTGACTTACATGTCTCAGCCATAGATTGGTCTCCATAATCTGATTGACTTCATCCTGAGAAGAGATGGAAATAAAATGAACATGATGTCCTAGCCTGTACGTAATCAAGTAATTCGGTCAAAGGTATATCCTTATTTGCTCCAGTAATGATGCAGGTGAGTCTCACCACTTTGACCAATTGGGACATGGACACCTCAAACTCCACAGTAACAGGGTCAGAGACATTCTCCACTGGTCTGATGAACTGGTTGTATCTCCTGAATAACTTCCTGAACAGCCTGTCCTCCCCCTTAGATGACAAACAGCCTGAGAGAAAGAGAGAGAGAGAGAGAGAGAGAGAGAGAGAGAGAGAGAGAGAGAGAGAGAGAGAGAGAGAGAGAGAGAGAGAGAGGGGGAGAGAGAGAGAGAATCTTCACTGGGGGGGGGGGCATTTACAAAATAGTAGGGTGGCTTTTTAAATTATTACCATAAAGAGATTCTCCCTTGTTGTCAGGCTTTAATGAAGGGGACTTTGAGGAGAAGTTAAGCTTTTGTCATGATATATTTTTTGTTTGTACTTTTACCCCTTTTTCGTGATATCCAATTGGTAGTCTTGTCCCATCGCTGCAACTCCCCTACAGACTCGGGAGAGGCGAAGGTCGAGAGCCATGCGTCCTCCGAAACACGGCCCTGCCAAGCCACACTGCTTCTTGACACACTGCTCGCTTAACCTGGAAGCCAGCCGCACCAATGTGTCGGAGGAAACACTGTCCAGCTGGTGACCGAAGTCAGCTTGCAGGCGCCCGGCCCACCACACGGAGTCACTAGAGCACGATGGGACAAGGAAATCCCGGCCGGCCAAACCCGCCCCTAACCTGGACGATGCTGGGCCAATTGTGCGCCGCCTCATGGGTCTCCCGGTCACGGCCGGCTGTGACAGCCGGCGATCGAACCCGAGTCTGTAGTGGTGCCTCAAGCACTGTGATGCAGTGCCTTAGACCGCAGCGCCACTCAGGAGAACCAACCTTTAGCATTTTATCACCTTGTCTACATTAAGGTTTTAATCAATGGCTCTTTGCTGTGGATGGATGGAAAGTTGTGGCTCATCGAAGTACGGTGTGTGAGGAGTCGCACATTGGAGCTGTTTCTACAGAGGAAGGCAAGTGGAAGCTTTTAGTTAATCCCTCCAGACTGGAACGCAATGTGTGTGTGTGCCTGCGCGCGTGTGTGTGCCCGAAACTGTTACATTCTGAGTATACCTGGCAAAGTAGGTATGAAGGTCATTTCGTGACGTGCAAAAAACCTCCCCCTCTGGTGACTTGGTTGCCGGGGACGATGCACGAAACCCACGCCTGTCCGAGCAGAAAATCGTGCCTCGCTTGGGACATCCCTCCACGCCCGCCTCGGCCATGGCTTCAAAGGACACCAATCTCTTAATTCTCCCCCCCCCCCTCTAACCTTCACTCCCTCTCTTCCTTCATCCTTTTCCCTCCCTCTCTCTCTCCCTCCATCTCTCTCTCTCTCTCTCTCCCTCCTCTCCCTCCATCTCTCTCATGGTTAATTGAACACAGCCTTTAAAAGACCACCAGTCTCTCGTCTCTCTCCCCAGCCTGCACACTCCAAAGTCAGCTGTCTGTCTGTCTGTCTGTCAGCCATCTGTCTATCAGCCATCTGTCTGCCTGTCTGTCTGTTTGTCAGCCATATATATGTCTGTCTGTCAGCCATATGTCTGTCTGTCTATCAGCCGTCTGTCTGTCTTTCTGTCTGTCTGTCAGCCATATGTCTGTCTGTCTGTCAGCCATATGTCTGTCTGTCTATCAGCCGTCTGTCTGTCTTTCTGTCTGTCTGTCAGCCATATGTCTGTCTGTCTGTCAGCCGTCTGTCTGTCTGTCGGCCGTCTGTCGGTCTGTCTGTCAGCCATCTGTCTGTCAGCTGTCTGTCTGTCTGTCTGTTTGTCAGCCGTCTGTCTGTCTGCCGTCTGTCTTTCTGTCTGTCAGCAGTTGGTCTGTCTGTCTATCAGCCGTCTGTCTGTCTGTCTGTCTGTCGCTGCACCAGTAGACAGCTAACACCAGTACAGCCTAGATACTGGGACCAGTGGGTGTGAGCATCAGCGCACCACCCCTCCATTCTGTGACCAGAGAGTAGAGTAAACACCAAATGGCTAAAAGCATTTAGTGACTAAAAGTGAAAACAGTGCCAAAACAACACCAAAACATTTCCTGGTAATAATGAATGAATAAAATATGTTATTTTAGAGGATTCTTTTATCCAAGTGACTTACAGTTAACAATAAATAATGTGTGTTCAGTAGGTTACATGTGGGCCAGACAGGTATTGAATCAACAACCCTGCCAGTACCATGTTCCAACCAAATTAAACCACACGTCTCTTCTATCCCTACCAGTTGGATATTTAGATTACTCCTGAAAAACATGGTTCCTATTTAACTCAGAAATTGACTAAGAACTCATTGTGAACTTACGCTCAATACAGTTGGTTTGAGAGGTGAGGACAGGAACAGAACTGTTAGTTAACACACACATACACCCGCAAACAAATACATACACACCGTCCTGTACTCTCCTAACTGAGCCAGTTACATAAGGACAATTCCACGGTAACAGTTATGCTGAGACTCAGATTTTTCACTTTAAAATGTATGTCAAACATAAACCAATGACTGCAAAGTTTAACAAACCATACAACTCTATGCACAAGGATGACTTTTAACAATTTCGACTGAACATTTTATTAAAACTACTTGAAGAACAGTGCAGATGCTAAGTTTGGTAACAGAATGACGGCACCAACAGCACAAACCGTCATTCTGTTACCAAACTTTGTTAATGTTCTCTAAATCTAAAGGCTCAACCTTGATTCGAACCAATATCTTAAGAAGTTGAACATGTTATTACTCCAACCTCGTGAAAGTGACAAACTGACACATTTTCATCTTCGTCAAAAACAACTTTATCGAAGGAGTGCCTTTGATTTGACGGCCTGCACATGCGCAGTTCGGAGCGAGATGACCGTTAGACCCGATGATGTGTTTCTGCGCATGAGCTTAGATAGCCAACGTCGCCATGACTTCGCCTACAACTGTGAGCTGGGATGTCTATTGGAGAAGCAGTTTCTGCATATCTTCATACTGTACTGTCTTCCGTAACATGAGTAGAATTTCAAGAGTCTTCTTACTGGTGTATTTTTCACTCAATACCTATTCCTTTCAGAGCATACGGTCCTTGTGTAACATTAACGGAACACTTTATGGTGTTTTCAAGGCACAAAGGTTTTTAGAGGTTTTTATATACACTGTGTGTACAAAACATTAAGAACACTTTCCTAATATTGAGTTGCACCCATAGCTGCGGGGAAGTGGTGCTGAATGTTTTTTTTAACCCGCGCTACAGACAGCTATATAGGTCCACTAATACAGGACTAGTAAAGGCCCAGTGCACTACTTTTGTGAGAAAATAAATATATATATATTCAGAATTCTCAGCACCCCTACTTCCCGAGGCTATGGTTGCACCCCCCCTTTTGCCCTCAGAACAGCCTTAATTCGTTGGGGCAAGGAGTCTACAAGGTGTTGAAAGCGTTCCACAGGGATGCTGGCCCATGGTGACTCCAATGCTTCCCACAGTTGTGTCAAGTCGGCTGGATGTCCTTTGGGTGGTGGACCATTCTTGATACACACGAGAAACAGTTGAGCGTGAGAAACCTAGCAGCGTTGCAGTTCTTGACACAAACCGGTGCGCCTGGCACCTACTACCATACCCTGTTCAAAGGCACTTAAATATTTTGTCTTGCCCATTCACCCTCTGAACGGCACTCATACACAATCCAAGCCTCAATTGTCTCAAGGTTTAAAAATCCTTCTTTAACCTGTCTCCTCCCCTTCATCTACACTGATTGAAGTGGATTTACCAAATGACATCAATAAGGGATCATAGCTTTCACCTGGTCAGTTTATGTCATGGAAAGAGCAGGTGTTCATAATGGTTTGTACACTCGCTGTATATTTTCATGTCTCTGTTAAAATACTGTATTTAAGACGGATCTGGCGCTCTCAGTCTCCCTCTACATTAAAAACATACACAAAACACAGCGCTGACCTAACCAATGTAGCATTTGTGTTACAATGTTTTGTCCACTCAGTGTGTATGGTAATGCTGGGTGCCAGTCTGTTGCTGCTCTCTTCCCAACTCCTTATGGAATTCTCATGGAAAACATGTTTGGCTTGAAAATGTAAATGGAGTAGGCAAAAGTACAAATTGATTTGGGTCCAGGCTAATATGCTGCTATATTGAGGAAAGTTCTTACTTTCAATGACTGTGATATGTGGTTGTTTTATCTACCTTAGTTGAATGCACTAACTGTAAGAGTGTCTGCCAACTGACCAAAATATAAATGTAGATGTCAAATGTGGCTAAATGTGTCTCAAACGTCACTCAAGTCCTATACAATTAATGTGAGTGTTTTTCTAGAGAATAACATTTCCCAACAGTCTCCTAAACAACAACATCTAGGCCAGGGCTACATGTCAGAACCTTCTAACAGTTTTCCAAAGCCAGCCAGTCCCTAATGTTCCATGTTACAGTAATACATTCTGAAGAAGTTAGTAAGATCACAGACAAACTTTCCACAAGATTTCTGAGGTCACTTGAAGCGGCGCCGAGCGCTGTCGAGTCTTAGTGCTTAATGAAAAATCTCCTCTCCAGAGAGAGCCCAGTGGATGGCTGTAATTTCTGTCTTCGCTACCTGCTGACATTAAAACACAGCACTGGTCCCTGATTGGCTGCGCTCTGAGAACCTCGTTTAAGCCCCTAATTGGGTAGGGGAAATGAGGGCAATTATAATCTGTTCATTAATTGGACCTTTTGTTCGCACTGAAAAATTAAATAAATGCTTTTCCTCTGTACCTTCCTTTCTTCCCCCTCCTTCAACCTTTCTTTCTTTCTTTTTCTCTGTGTAGATTGGAAGGTTTCTTACATCATACAGACTTAACAATACCCTCTCACTTTTCAACCACTGGTGACATCATTGTGACAGAAACAGCCAGCTGTCCCATTAAACATGGCTCAGTCAAGACGCAAGAATGTGTGTTTGTGTGCTGTATGCAACTATGTAGAGAGAACCAGAAACACAGAAACCAGACGTATGTATATGTCCTCCTCCTGATCCATCAACTCTTTATCCCAAATCTCATTCCAGATAAACTAAGACTAGAATGGGAAAATGGAGCCGACAGAGAGGGCTGCCTTGCTTCTAGAGCTTAGGATATTTTGCAGTATTTAGTTTTTTATGTATTATTTATTACGTTATTAGCCCAGAAAATGGTTTGTGTTATTACATACAGCCGGGAAGAACTATTGGATATCAGAGCGGCGGTAACTCACCAGCACTACCAGCATTACAACTAGGATTAAGACTTTCCCGAAGCAGATCCTTTGTTCACAACCCCCAGGGCAATTGAACTGATTCCAGAGGCCGACCCAAAACAACACCGGAGGAGAGGTACTCGGAGCAGTCGCTAGGAGGCGTGCACACCACCCACCGCTTCCGAGTATATTACTCGCTAGTGTTCAGTCTCTGGATAATAAAGTTGACGAGCTCAGGGTGAGGATTTCTTTCCAGAGGGACATCAGGGATTGTAACATACTCTGTTTCACAGAAACATGGCTCTCTCAGGATATACTGTCCGAGTCGATCCAGCCAGTTGGGTTCTCAGTTCCTCGCAGACAGGAATAAATATCTCTCCAGGAAGCAGAAGGGCGGAGGTGTATGTTTAATGATTAATGACTCATGGTGTAATTGTAATAACATACAGGAACTCAAGTCCTTTTGTTCACCCGACTTAGAATACCTCACAATCAAATGCCGACCGTATTATCTCCCAAGATAATTTTCTTTGGTTATAGTCACAGCCGTGTATATCCCCCCTCAAGCCGATACCACAGCGGCCTTCAAAGAACTTCACTGGACTTTATGCAGACTGGAAACCACATATCCTGAGTCTGCATTTATTGTAGCTGGGGATTTTAACAAAGCAAATTTGAGGAAAAGGCTGCCGAAGTTCTATCAACACATTGACTGTAGTACTCGCGCTGCTAAAACACTCGACCACTGCTACTCCAACTTCCGGGATGCATACAAGGCCCTCGCAAGCCCTCCTTTCGGCAAATCTGACCACGACTCCATTTTGCTCCACCCTTCCTACAGGCAGAAACTCAAACAGGAAGTACCCGTGCTAATGACTATTCAACGCTGGTCTGACAAATCGGAATCCACGCTTCAAGATTGTTTTGATCACGTGGACTGGGAAATATGTTGCGGGTAGCTTCAGAGAATAATATTGACGTATATACTTATACGGTGACTGAGCTTATCAGGAAGTGCATAGGAGATGTT